AACACATGCTGCTGATGCAATGGTGACTGGTAGTTTTTTGTAATTATTAAAATTTCACGAAAATCACAGAATTTTAGGCTACAAAAAATTGGAGCTATTATTATATTATAATGTTTTTTTATCAGAGATGCTGGGAATGGTCTTTATGCTGTAAGACATGTGGCATTAATTGGATACAGATTTTTAAATTCTGCTCAAAATAAACTGTCGTACAAATACGTAGTTTATTCTCCAAAATCAAATGCTATTGGTCATCAATATGAGTTTCTTCATGGATCTCCACTGTATGAGTCTATTCATAATTGTAGAGTACTAAAAATACCTCAAGCTAAGTTAAAGCCAGGAGGTAAGAGTATACTGTGATTGATTTTGGTATCTGTGTTTTAATTTTAGGACATTATTGCCAGTTTGATACAATGATTTTGCCACATTTAACGGTAAAAAGAGTTGAAGGGATTTTTACACCAAATAGAGATGCCTGTTCTGGTGAAATTGTTAATGTTCCTTATACTGCTGTAATGCGTTATCAGTGCTTGGAAATCTATGGAAAAGCAGTTAAAGACACCATTATTAATGGAAAATTTAGTGAACGTTTCAGTATTCAAGATGGGGTAACAGAAATTCAAGCATTGATTGACTGTATCTGTGTACAATGGATTGAGGTCAAAGGAAATGAAGAGATGTGGGTTGTCAAAGGCATTGATATTGTAAGTGGTGTACATGTGTATGTATATAACATTTATAAAAGCTTTTATAGTATATCTTCAAATGGTTTGAATCTTTATTACATAAGCTAATAATTTCTGAGTCTCATTTTCGTACGTTTTCTGGTGTACTTGTTGCATGTTGTCTGCATAGTTTTAAGAAATCTCATAATTTTGAAGTCACAGAAGGTATGAGGATTGATATATTACGAGCAATAAGTTTGACAGTGTCTGATGGAGAAAATCAATTGAAATATATGCAAAACTTCTTAAAAACCCCAGCAGCAAAGTCAGTTCATGTTACAGTTACAAAAATACAACTTTTTTTAATTTATAGGAAGCTTGTGCTAGACAGCCTATTATATTATGTTAGGGCTGTAATCGATCTGAAGAATCCCATGCTTGTTGATGTTGTTGTCAAAGCTTTACCATTGTATCATTTCTTATCTGGATTTTCTATACCAAATCAGTTATTACATTCATTGAGAGAAGAACCTGAGGCTGATACTTTGATCTTCGCTGAATTGGCAGCATTAGTGAATGACAAGTCAAAGTACATGTATATTTTAGTTATTCAATTTATTTAATATTTTTAATAGATTTATTGAGCAGAATCTTCAGTTATTTCAATTTGATACAAAACTTCTGCCCCTAATTTCATATATTTACCCTAAGGAGGATTCATGTTTTTTTTGTGAAGTATTACCAATCAATTTAGCAATTATTTGGCTTATAAGAAAACAGGAGTTTAGAGCTTCTTTTATTAAGGTAACTTAATGCCAGAGATTTACACTAGTCACATTATGTATAGTGCAAACTATTGATACAGTGTATACACCATTGATTTGATGTCATTGCCTATAATTATCAATGCCCTTACTCTACGTTATTACAGCTAGAGCAAGATTTCCAAAAACCAATGGCTCTTATCATAAAAAGAATCCTGAAAGTTAACAAGTTAGTATATTATTTGTAGTTTTAAATAGTATGTTAAAATATTTCTAGGTTCACCTATCTCAGTCGATATTCAGAGGCTGCTTTTTATTTTAAGCAAAGTTTTCAAAATATGTTGAATAGTTTGGAATTTGTAGTTTCAGCCATCTCTCTTTTTCTTTGCTTACTGCACAGAGTGAAGGAAGTTGATGGCGAATGGACAAATGACCAAGAAAATCTCTGTCAGAAGCTAAGATATAATATTAGAGAGCTGTTGAAAGACTGGGTGATGTGTCCTGATGTCATTGGGGGGTCTTTCTTTGGTGGAGATGTGTGTGATGTTGGGAAAAATACACAAAAATTGAGAAAAGGAGAGCAAGAACTAAAAGTAAGCAAAGTATTTGCTAGGTGAGACTCAAGAGTTTTGTTAAACTTGTTGATATGTATATATTTAATTGTACCAAGTGAAACAAGAGGAATATTTTTGAGTGTTTGATTTTTGGTCAGGATGAAATTGCAAAATTTTAATCCCCTTTTGTGTGTTTAATTAGCCAGAATGGCACTTCTAAAATAATGCATGTCAATCATTACAAGCCATCTGAAAGGCCATTTTATTGTTGGACAGATTTTGTTTGTGAGATATTCTTTTAATTACATATTGCACATTCAAAATTTGGCATGTCATTAAGATTGCGTTGACAATGGGTATGCCAATTGCAATCATTAACATGATGTTGCCCATTGTTTTGATACTCGGTCTAAACCTATACACGAGTTCTCCTTTTATCACTAGTTATGTACCACTCACATAATTATAATAAAATTTTGAGAATAATGCAAATATTATTTTCTTCAATATTTCTCCTTTAAAATTTCTATGATCAAAATTTTGTTGTTGTAACTGATTTTCACTTGAAAATTGCTGTCACCATTTACTGTAAATATATGTATTTGTTCTCATAAGAATATAAATGTCAGACTAAAAAATAATTGCACACTACTTGTATTGGAGACTTCAGTCAGTATCTTAATACTTAGAAAATTTTAGCATTATTTGTAGTTGTATAATATAGTATTTTTATATTCTTGTATTTTTGTGGAAGCTTACAATTATAGCAAATAAAAGTGTAGCAACCACTATTAAAAAGAAGTAACAAATGTCTATTGCAAGTCTGTATATACTTGGATTACAATTTCAATTATTTTTTGACTTTCCATGATTGTCACTTTTTTTAGCTATGGATGAAAATGTTAGCTTTAAAGTTTCCAGTAAATGAGATGAAGAAAGAATTAGAGTGTATCATTTTAGACATTGTTAGTGACAGAGTTTTTAGCATACCGACAATGCAATTAAAATTACAAGCGTTTGTTTGTGCTGAGACTGAAAAAAGAACTCAATTTCCTGACTCTTTCATGAATGTTTTTCTAAATATAGCAGTTGAAATTTTATCATCCTCAGAAAATAAAGTAACTATTATTAGTTTATGATTGTCCTTATAATTTGTTTTGTTATGCAGATTTATGATGAGTCAGTAGCTTTGAATTTTGATGAAGTGTTCTGCTTAATTATTAAAATTGTTGAAGAAAGATATGTTGAGAACAAAATATTTGAAGTTTCTCTTAATGATCTGTTAAATTATGAATTTTGGCCTTCATTTTTAAAATTGTACAGTAAGTTACATTATACTGCAATTGTTGTATATTTATTGTAATAATAATTAGATTCTGAATTTGGGCAAAAACAGAAAGGTATTTGGAAATTTATAGTTGAATGTGCCCTTGGTAAGTTAGAGAGCCTTTGTTCTGATATTCATGGAGGAAACATAACTTTTATTGAAATGAAAACTATCAGGAACAAGCAAATACAATTGAATTTACTATATAATATTGTTAAACCAGCTCGATCAAATGAGCTGCGAAATGATATTATAAAACGATTCAAAGAACTTGATTATTTTCAGAATTATGTACTAAAACTAGAATATTTTCTTTGTCGTATTGGAAACAAATTGATTGGTAAGAATGAAATAATAAATGTATTATATCTAACTGTATAATAAATAAATTTTAATTAATATAGGTCAGTGTTGTTTATTGAATGAACTTCAAAAGAACTATGAAGATGAAAAGATCAATAAGCTATGTATTACAGCATCAGATGGCAGCTGCAGGGTTGTGTGCTTTCCTGATGCTAGACCACTTGATCCTTGCCTGGATGGATTCTTCACTTTATCTTCAAAATACTCCAGTGATATCTTTACTATGCTTTGGAACAAAAATATGAGTGAGCAACCAGCAGCAGTTGATTTGTCAAAGATATATTCCTATGTATGGGAACCAACACTTCAATCTTGTACCTTATTATTGAAAGAGCTGCAGTCTGGAGACATAACCCTGTTAGATGTTGACAATCTATTTAAAAATTTTTATTTTAGTAAGCTTGATAAGTTAGAAAAAGATCTCCTTAATCTTCAACATGGAGTTAATGCCATCAATCATACTGTCACTAATGATACTGGGATAAAGGAGGCTATAGCACATGTTAGCCAGTATTGGGATTTGTGTGGTTATAGAGAAGCAGCTGAAGCATTTCTTAAAATTCGTGATACACTTGATTTGACTGGAGACTTTGTTATAGTGGAAACAGTAGCATCAAAGGTACATACCTTACACTTATGCATACATTTACCTTACACATATGGGAATGTTTGAAAATAAAATTTAAAAAATTTCAATCCAGTAGATACTATATATTTGTAATACATGAGCATTTCAGTAGTCAAATAAAAACTTGTATTTTTATGAAAGATTTATAAGATGACTTTAATGACAGAAACAAGCTAATTATTGGCCTTGCCAACAATTAGCGTGGGCGAGGACTATGTAGTTAAGTGTGTTGTTGGGCGAGGGACTATGTAGTTAAGTCTGTCATTCATTCTGTCCAGAAGCAAACTATCGCTTTGAGATATTGTGGTTTTAGTAGGGGGTCCCCTACACTCAGATAACTTCTCCATGCACTAGAAAATGTTACTTTTATTATCAGTGCAAAGAACCAAAAGCTAACAATCTTGCCAAATGTAGGTAGGTTTTCCTATCATTTTGTCATGCTTCCAGTAATAGAGCTATCTAGCATCTCTAGAGAGACACAAAAACCTTTTCTTACAAAAATATGTAGAGTTTTTCTGTAACTTTCTTTGTCTTGA